GGCGGACGTTTAATGTGGGGCGAATGGGCAATTCCTCGGGGTGCTCAGAGGACAAGCCCGCTGACCTTGAACGTTGCTATAATACGGGAAGAGGCAACTGAGGAGAAAAGTCATGCAAGTCTCATCTTCAGAGAAGCTCTGGGGAAAGCGTGGGTTTGTCTCTCCACCTGTTGTTCATTCCTGCTGGACAACGGGGGAAAGCCCGTGCACGGCCTGCCTTTTACATTCTCTTTGAATCTACATGAACCTGCCGTCCACGAACCCCATACTCCACCTGAACAAAACTCTTCTCCCTGGGTACAAAACGCCTTTGTCTGGAGAAGGGCATGTCTCAGCATCCTATGAAACGTCATTTCTTAGATGCCACTCAGAACAAAAAGGCTACCAATGGTCTCTAAACAATGGGTTTTAAACATAATGCCATCTGGAAATCCAGAAGGCTCTGAGGGTCGTGCAAGCTCTGTGAACATGTACATTTCTCTAGGGAGTACACGCAGTTTTCACCAGATTCTCAAAAGGGTTTGTGGCTCCCCCAGAAAACCCAGCACTACTGTCCAATGTATTCAAAATAGTACTGCCCAGGCTAAAAATAACAGATGATATTTTTAAAACATAAAATAAACAAGTCCTTTCAGGCCTCTCATCCTACAGTGTTCTTAATTATCTTGAGATCATGCTGTGAAAAAACCTATTCACTGCTGTTACCATTTTGCGGATTGGCAAACTCGATTCCTAAGAAATTAAAGTGAATATTCCACCTATGGAAAAAAGAACGAAAGACAAGCAGTGATCGCCTCCCGCTGTTACTGCAATACCTTACCTCCCAGGCCATAAATAAATACCACGGCCAGGCCCTGTGCTGGGTCCTTTATATACACAGCTTATTTAAACATCATAACAACTCTGCAAGACCTTGTCTCATTTTTCTTTTTCCTTTTTGGAGACATTTTCAATTTTATTTAACTGGAATAATACATTCATATATATATTGGTTTTTCTCATTTTTCAATTTGAGGAAATCAAGGCTCAGAAAACCTCAGTGATTGCCAAAGACCACACAGCCCTGATAAGTGTCGGAGTTGGGATCTGATTTCAAGTCTGTCTGCCTCCCAAGCCCCACACCGGGATATACTCTAAAACTTGGATCCTCAGAGGAGGAAAGTTTGTCTTCAAGTCAGGGACAGTTTCTTAGACATCTTTGTATTCCCCACAGCGCCTCACCATGCTTTGCATGGCAAGGCTCTCAGTAAATATTTGTTGGATGAAGAAACCTGGGCTCGGGCTCCAGTTCTGCCACGGACCGAGTGACTCAGTCTCCTGCAGCTTGGAGCTGCAGGTGGTTACTCAGCTGGGCAACTTCAGGGAACATTTGAAATCAATTATGGGTGAGGAGGAACCTATTAAAATTTTCTCTTTTGTGTATGTTGGGGTTGAAGGAGAGGAAAGGAAGTCGAAAAGGAAGGAAAAGAACAGGATGGTTTCGGGGTTGGGAGCTGGAACGCGAAGAGGACACACCCGGATGGGACAGAATTTGGCTGTGTCCACTGCTTAGTTCCAGGGACGTGTCCAAACGGGCTCCTCCACACCTAGGTGGCCGCATAGCCCTGAATCGCCAGGCCCCCGATTAGTGACTTTTAGGGAGCACCCTGCAGTCGAGTGATTGCGTCATCCCCTCCTAGGCCGCGTTGCCCCCCTGCAGCTGTGGGAAACAGGCGACTTCAGAAGCTCTACCTTGCCGGGGGCCCGGGCACCCCCTCTCCCCCTCCTAGGGCCAAAGAGATTCTCAGCACCTAAAATCTGTGAGCCCTGCATGTCCCTCAACCCTACATGAAAGTATGCTGGCAATTCATTCTGGAGTCCAACTTCCTATTTAGGAAGAATGAAGGAGTTTGGGGAGGGGGGAGAGGCGTAATCCTAGTTGACTTTGTTTTCTGCACTAGTCGCTAAAGTGCAAGTTACTCACAACCCCAAAAACGCCACTTTGGCCCTTTCTCATAGGCCCTGCAAGAAAGACTCGTATGAAGCTGACCCCAAGGGATGCCGACCAGCAACATTCTGGGAGAGGATGATTAAATGCAGCCCAGAGGCCAGGGCAGGACAAACCTCCAAGAAATCAGACATTCCCCACGACGTGGCTGCCCGCTCTCCGGTGTGCGAAGCAACACTGCCACCTAGTGCCCGGCGTGGAAAGTATTCCCTAAGGCCCCACATCTGGGCGGGGGAGGGGCGGGGAGGGTCAGGGGAGGGGGTTCCTCTGTAATAGTCGGTGTGGCTGAACCGCTTGAAGTCTCTGACTCAGAGAAAGTGCCCCAAGTTCGGCAGATTGAGGATTGGGATGCTGGGTTTAAGTTAAGCAGGTAGAAGCTGAGGTTTGAGAGCTGTTGACCAGGGTGCCAGAGCAAGGCTGGCAGCCCCTTGGACTATCCTCACCGGAGCAGCAGAACTGTGACAGCTGGATTGTGTGCAGCTGCCAGGAACACGACTCTGTCGCTGTCCTTCTGCACAGGTGAAGGCCAACCATCCTAGGAACAGGCGGTGACCAGCCGGTGCTGTGCAGAGAGAGGAAAGATGGCTGACCTGCTGACAGGCGCGGGTCTGTGAGTGCAAAGCGAGCAGCCTCATTCCGAGGAGGACCCCCTCGGCAGCTCTGTGGTTCTCAGCCATGGAGCCCACGGGGCACGGGGGAGCAGCTGAGCACAGTGAGGGCACAGGGCACCTAAGCCCTCGGGAGCCCAGCTGCCAGAATCCTGAAGCATGAAGATCTTGTTCCCAACCCCCATCTTTCCCAGACTTTAACCCTAAATCATTACCGGATGGTTTCTGATGCGCACAAATGTGAAGAGAGGTATAGGGTGGAAGGTGGAGAAGAGACAGCCCTGGGCATTTTCTGCCTCGGCCTGCCTGGAGCAGACCTGCAGGGGAAATACCCGGCACCGCAGCGGGCGCCTTGGTTTGAAGAGGAAGAAAACTGAGAAGCTAGACTGTCTGCAAAAGATTTCCTGCCCGATTTTACACGCTGAAGGAGGTTAAGAACGTTCAGGGGGGCACTTCAGAGGAGGACCTGAGAGTGAGCTGCGGGCAGGGTCAGGGCGGTGGCCGTGGAGGACAGGTGGGGGAGGCAGGGAGACGTACAGAGGGGGTGGGTGGAGGCGCAGGGCAGGCCGTAACTGGAATCCAGTCGTAACGCTGCTCTCCTGGTGCACAGTGTGTGAGAGGACACGGGAGGGACAGGACAGGGGTCAGGGACCCACTGCGCTGAATCTGTTTCCTTAAGTTTGGGCTTTGATAGCCCAAAGCAATAGCTCCTGAGAGCCTCCCACATATGTTCCTGTTGGATCCTTCCCCAATTCTTCGCAGCCAGGGAACTGATCCCAGGTCCCTACGTTGCTACTGCAAGCGGAGGGGTAAGCAGAGTCGCGGGTCTCAGTCTAGACTGCAAGCACACAGTCTCCCTGGCAGATGGGTACTAGGAAGCGAGATTAGGCAGCAAGAAGATGTCATCTGGGAAAAACTGCAAAGCTGCCAACTCTGATCAGATAATCATCTCATTATTTCTTCCATTTGGCCCCAAAATAAGGATTTCCTTCTACTCTTTCTCTGCCCCCACCTAACTCACAGCCCAGCCTCTTCCCTCTCCGCTTCCCTCACCCCCTCTCCCACCCAAAAATAAAATAAAGCAAAACCACAAGACTTGAGAGCGCTCAGTGTCTGGGAATCCCAGCTTCCGAAGGAGAAATCACAGCCAAAAAGGGGGAGACAGAGTGTCCGGAAGGGATGTTCCAGCAACACCCCACTGAAAGAGGCTCCCTCCTTCCAGATTTCTTCCCCTAGTTTGAAACTTATTTGCAGGCCTCCAGCAACCTGAGAAGTTTTTAATCTGGAGGGTTGTCAAGCAATTCAGGCGCCCTGGAGTTCTATTCCCAGCCCGCCTCTGGCACACTTCTTATTGCCTCAGTTTCCCCATCAATGTAATGGGACTGGAAAACATCAAAGGGTGTTGTGGACGATCCAAATTAAAAAGATTAAATGGTTCTACTATGTGCCTAGCTTTGTGTTCGATTCTGCCATGGGAGATCCCAAAGGATGGTGAGAGTCCAGTGATGAAAAACATCAGGTGGAATCCTCACCCCCTTGCTTGACACGGACCTCCCCGGTAAGACAAAGGGAGACAGTGACTCCTCACCCTACTCTTCTCTTTGCCCTTCCAGGTGACTTTCCAGGAAAGCTAAGATCTGGGTATAGCGGGAAATAGATATGTGAAACGTTCCCAGACAGGTGCCTCTGATCAAAACCATAGAGTTATACAGGTTTCATTTTAGGTGCCTCTTCCGACACCCACGGCCAGAAGCCGGGATGCTGGCTTGTGAGTGCCACTGTTCCCAGTAGCGCTGGACACATGATTGCTGTCCCTAGGCTGGACACATGATTGTTGGGACAGAGTGAAAGGCACCAGGACCTCGACTAGGTGGTACTTCTCTGCCAGATTTTAGGGCTGCTTGGAGAAAAGGGAAGCAGCCAGGCTCCGACGGCTGTGTACCTGGCAGCTTTGTTCCCTCACTGCCTGGACCGGCTCGGGCATGACTCCCTGCTCAGGTCCTTGGACGCTCATCTATTTTCAAAGTCACCTGGGTGTCTCATACTGGAGTAGGAGAAACGAGTGTGACACCCCTTCCCCACTGACAAAGAACCAAAGAGATTTATCCCTTTAAAGAGAGGTCAAAGAGATAAGTCTCCTAAGTACAAGCACGATGTATAGAACTAGGTGAGATCAACACAAGGGACAAAGGCCACTGTGGTTAGAGAGTCATTACCTTCCCTCTGCTGGTGTCTGGAAACCTGCTGTGCTGCTGAGTAAAAGCCCTTCCCCCACCCCCACCCCCTGAGCCCTTCCTGGCTTTCCTGCTCCAAGCCCTCCCCTCCTCGCTCCCTACCTCTATCCCACCAGAAACGGAGCCAGCCTTACCGCCAGGACCTCAGGAAGCCCAAGAGTGGGTCATTACCTGCGATGATGGCTGGGTTGTTCTGTCCTCCCTCCGGTTTGACCCAGGCTTCCACTGTGAACGCCTCCCGGGGAATCTCAGCCAGCACTTCTGGACGCAGCAGCAGCCGCTCCCGCCTCCCAGAGAAGTACAAGACAGGCAGTCCTCCTTGGGAGTTAAAGGTCCCTGCGTCCCAAGAGGGGTCCCCTCCACCATTTTGGATGCTGTCCTCCAGTGGGCTGTTTCTGACCCTTTGCGTAAGGGGACGCTTGGGCCGCGGTTGGAAATGCGGAGGAGAGTCATTGGTGTCTCCCGACACGTCTTCTGCCTGCCTCTTCACCACTGGGCGACCACGTCCAGACTTGGCCCGGCCCTTCCTTTGGGTCTCTGGTTTGGGTTCCTTCAGGCTTGCGAAGGTGGTGGTGACAGTGGCTGTGCTTTTCCAAGTCCCAGTCTCACCTAGAGAGTCCTTGGATCTTTGGTTGCCAACATAAGTGTCATCATCTCCCAGCAGCTCAGATTGCCCAATAGGACCATCCCCTACCCACGGGGCTGCTGGCGGCTCAGCCTCACTCCTCGCTCCTGCTGTACTTTCCATCAAGTCTTGGGGAACGAGGCTCACAGCCTTTCCCCCGGGATCTGTCTGACTGCGTCCTGCAGGACGGATTCCCTGCTCGCCCACAGAGTAGGGCCTCAGGTACTCCCCAGGCCTGCTGGGGTACACCCCAAAGAGGTGATGCTGGGGAGCAGCTCTCGGTCTTCGAGGCTTAGCCCCCAGCCAACAGTGTTCTCCTTCCAGCAGCACCTGATTCAGGTGTCCCCGCTGAGCCAAGGATTTCTTGCGTGTCCAGCCCGGCTCAGAGCTGGCAGCGCCACACGCCCACCCCGCCAAGATCACCAGGCTTATTCTCAGGAGCTTCAAGCACGTCATGCCTCCTCCAACTCCTTTCACAGAACCAGGAGGCGACTTCTGGGTACCACACCAGAATGATGGGGAGAAGAGAGAGACAGCTAGCAATGGATTTGCAGTCGCCAGGGAAACTGTTCTGTTCACAGACCAAACTTTTTCAAATAGCCCCAGAAGAGTGCCCCCTTCTGGCTACCTGGCCTGGAAACTCTGCCAGCCCAGCGTGGCTTCTGTGCCTGGCCCACCGCGTGCTTCCCCGCGCTTCTCCCCGACCTCACTCTCCTTGCTCTATTTTAGTCCTTGCAGAATGAAGTTAATTTCTCTTGGTTCCTTTGAATTTCCTCCCAGAGAGCTCAGGTTTCTATTTTTTTTTTTTTCCTTCTTCAATAACCCTCCCGTCCCTGATACCAGAAGAGAGCCCCACGGGCAGGGCAGGAGCCAAATCTCTCAAAACACACACTCACTCACACACCCCCCTTGCTACCTGAAGTCATTCAAAGCAAGCTTATCCTCTAATTTTCATTTCTTCCTCTTCTTCCTTCCCTAGGAGTTACCTTCTCTTTTTGTAGTCCTTAACCCAGAATATGTTCGCCTTAAAACAAATTGCTAGAAGAACTTTCATACAGAGATATACGATCTGATGCTTCTTATTTTAAAATGCAAAAAAAAACAGTATAGGGGGCACGAAAATCCAAGCCGATACTTAACTTCCACTCTCCAGATGTCCTCGGCCAGGTCCGCATCCAGCTTCCAGTCTGCCCCGCAGGTTAGACTGTTTCCCTCAGTTTGGTGCTTGGGCTTGTTGATTGTTGGAGCTCTTTAAACCCCCTTCCAACTTGTTGGTATGTTGCGAGTCTTCGTAAAGTGCTCCGGGGTGCCCGTCTGCTGTTCTGGTAACCTCATGGGTCTGAGAGCCCTTGGCTTCACCTTCTGGGAGTCTTGTGGGGCCCTGGGAAGACTGGAGAGAGAGCAAGAAGAGTGTGGACTTCAGGAGACCTGTCCTCTCCGGCCTCTCCTGCTCCCCTTCGCTCCCTTTCTCTCTGCCTGTAACTATCTTCTTGTTTTTTTCATTTAAAGACAATGATGATGTCAAAGCTAGTAAGTTCGGTGCATCACTCCACCTACTCTCTGTCCCCTCCTTCCTGCTCAAAGCCTCCCCACCTCGCCAAGACACGGGGCACAGACGCTACTCTTGGTTTCCCCAGTAAACATCTCGGGCTTTCTCTTTCAGCAGCCGCAGTCTACACAATCGATAGCAAACAATCAATACTGTTTTGGAGTACTCCTTCCTGTGTGTATCCTCTCTGCCTCTCTCTCTCTCTCTCTCTCTCTCTCACACACACACACACACACACACACACACACACACACACGCTGCGAACAGACCTGCCTACTGCCTGATAAGCCCATACGAACCTTTTAGGGACCACTTGTGTCTTTTCATTTTGTTTTGTCACAAACCTCCTATATCTTCTCTTACTTCAATCTGTCATTTGGGATTTAAAAGACCAATACCCCAAATTCACTTCATGTTGGACACTGGGAGAAAGGACAAATCAATCGTCCTGCCGTGAGAAGCATCAAATGTAAATGCCACGTATTTGTACTACATAGATCTTCTTCTCTCAAGTCTCTCAATCTGAAGTCACTAAAAGTCACCATATGCTGAGCAAACAAATAAACAAACGAGATGCTCAAAATAAGTAATTTGCAAAAATGAGCAGCTAGACCCAAGCAACTGTTTTTTCAATTGATTCGAGATGAATGGAGAGGGCCAGGAAGTAAACACTATGGCTTTAACCTGTCATGTTTGCCTAGAGGCAGGAGCTCTCGGAGGGCCCCCACCCCCTACATACATGTGCTTGCTCACAAACACGCGCACACACACACAGTCATGGACACACACAAGAGCGTGGGTCTGAATTCTTAACACAAGTAAGGATGTCTGGCCACAGGTGGCACAAAACAGTTAGAGAAATGCATTGGGTCCTTCATTCGGGTAATAAGAAAAATCACTTACACTTTTAAAATCACTGCTTGTGTTGCCCACATCTAAACATGCAGCCCACATACTCTGGAGTAAGGTCACACCGCCTCTTCTGCCTTGGGTCTCCCCATCATCTTCTAAACTCCGCACCCCAGCTGGTAACGGACTCATTTGTATTCTAAACCCTTCGTCCTCAGCACGCCCTGCTGCCCTGTGTCACGTCCACTGCAGCCTCGGTGCAGGCCCCCACGGAAGATACCGATCCCGGCACGTGGGCATTACGAAGCAGCCGTCCCCCAGTCGTAGACTGTCCTTGTTCCTTCCCTCACGTCCCCAGCTCCCTTCACTTTTCTGACTCAGTTCTCTCTCTCTCTTTTTTTTCTGAAGCAGCTCAAGAGCAGAGACTAGGCTTTGGGTGGGGGTAGAGGGGGGGTGCAGAGAAAGCCAGAAGAGCAGAAGAGAGACAGAGAGAGAGATAGAGAGGGAGAGAGACAGAGAGAGCAGGAAAGGAAGGAGGGGAGGAGGCGGGAGAGGCGCCTCAGTTTAAGGAGGGGAAGTCCTCAGGTGAGAAGGGAGAGGCAAACTGCCCCCTCCCGCAGGCCACCCCCAGCCCTCAGCGAAAGGTTTCCTACCATTCATCTCAGGAGGGAGGGATCACTCAGCAGGGAGGGAGAACTCCGCCCGCTCCGCTGCCCCTTTCAGCGTGAGTGACCTCGCATCCCCGCAGGTCTCTCCTGGCTCTCAGCTGCTGGTAATCCATTCATAAGGCTTCAAGAAGCTACACAAAACTCAAGCTCCCAGTTCGGTTTCTCTCTCTCCCCTTCATTCCTTTGCTCACCACTCTCCTTCGGCTCTTGGCAGTCCAAAGTTTAAAAAAAAATGTTGAACCATTTCTGTGTTTTCCTCCTGTTGTAACTTTTGCTGTGACATCATAACCCTGCCCACCAACACCCCACCTCCCTCTCATTTCCATCCCACCCCTCATCAGCCCCATACCCCCAGCACCCCCCACACGCAGAGAAGAAGGGCTCCTGTCAGTTCCAATGTGTGAAAAACACAAAGCTACTAGAAGGTTCCCCTCCCTCCCTCGTCCCCTGCTCTCCTCCCCCTCCCTGCCTTACCCACCGCTCAGCCTCCTCTCTCTAGGCTTTTAACAATGATCCCATCTGTTTGACATGTGCGGGAAGGTGGGCTGGATTCAAATAATCTGTCAAGTGAATCAGATCAAAAACAAAGCAACCCCCTCCCCAATTCCATCTCGCTCACACGCCCCAGACCCGAGCAGGAGTGTGAGGGAAGTCAGACTTGCGCAGCACCCACCCTCGATGCCAGGGAGAAGGACACCAAACATGCCAAGGGAAACCCAAATTTATATATACACACAAATTCTGTTGCTTATTTGTTTATGACAAACACCCGCACCGCCAGTCCCCTACCCTTCTGCCCCAAACCCTGCCACTCCGCAAGTGCACTGGCTTGAAAGCTGGCCGAATCTGTTTTGAAATCTCCAAGGAGAGGGTTTTTCCCCCTTTTTTTCACTCCAGAGCACTATCTGTGGCGATCAGACGGAGCGGGGCTGCCAGCAAATGCAGGAGGCCCCTTCTAGGGTACAGGCTTTCAAACCAGCGAAGCTGGAGGGAATGGATTTAAGGACACACAGCAGGAGCTGGCTGGATTCATTTTATTTTGACGGGGGTAGTTGGGGGAGGAATACTTCTGAAATGCCCAAGGAATGAAGGGAGAGGATATGGATTCCTTAAACAGTTTTTGCAAGAGGAGCGGTGTCTTATTCTGCAGGTAAATCTATAAGGCAAGAAATTGGAGCTTACAGATAAACAAGGACGGAGAGGGAGAGGGAGGGAAGAGAGGGAAGAGAGGAGAGGCAGGAGAAGGGATGGGGACCTGGGGAAGGGGAGAGAGGGAAGAAGGGGAGAAGGGCAGAAAGGGGGCTGGGGGAGAGAGAGGGAGTGAAGGGGGAGGGTGGGGAAGGAAGGGGGAAGGGAAGGGAGGGAGGCGAGGGGGAGGGATGGGAGGAAAGGAGGGAAATGGCAGGAGAGGGCAGGAGGAACAGGGAAAGAGAAGAGGCTGGGAGGAGGAAGGACTGGAGAGGAGAAGTAGGGGAGAGAAGAGGGAAGAATGAAGCAGAGGGGAAGGGAGGGGGGAGAGGTGGTGGGGCACATAAACATGGAGACCAGGAAGGCAGTTAGACCCATGATGGTTAGACAGGAAGCGGCCACAGGGGCAGGTGAAGGGAGGCGGTGTAACCTGGGGCAGAGCTCAGGTTTTATGTGCAGAAAACAAAGGAGACACAGTAGAGGGACTGCCTCGTAGAGATGGGACACGTTTTACACAACCAGACCGCAAGGCTTACATTGTCTCTTTAAGGAGACACCCCTGTTCCCTCCTCCTTCCCTCCCTGAGGCTCTCCCTCCAGCCACCACCTCCACCTTCCTTCTTTCACCTTGTTTTCCCAGCGTGGCTTCCCCTGGAGAATCCAAGAGTGAAATCCAGACACTCCCCCACCCCCCACCAAAGAAACCCACCCCTTGTGGCGCCTTCCTTTGTTTCTGCCCACAGAGGGTCCTGGGTCCTCTTAGCTGAAGATCAGGCTGTGCATGGCTTTCTGCGTCTCATTTCAACCCCAATCATGTTATGTTTCCTTTAAGCCCAGGACATCAGGGGTATTTTGCTTGTATTTACTTGTCCTCGTGATTACTGAGAGTGTTGGAGCAAAGACAGGAGGCAGCCCACAGTGACATCCACCTGCGGTGGACAGCGTTAGCAGAGGGAGAGAGACCCCCTCACATGGTCACTTTCTGATTCCAAAATCTGATCCCGCGAGGGAAGAGCTCAGCTGGGAGCCAGCCAGGCAGCGTAGTAATAAAAACCTCCCAGAACACAACCAAATGCAGTCTCTATATATAGGAGCCGGATCTGTTTTAGCTACTTGCAGTCTAAAATGACACCCGGAAACAAACATTTCAGCAATATGTTTATTGGAATCTTATTCAGCTAGTGCTGGAAAGAGGGAGCTTCT